TTAAATCAGAACTGGTTCTCTAGCAGATTAGTAAGAATGGCTCAACCAGTGTTCTAGAATGGCCCTTTTCCCTTTATTCAGATTACAACCTCTCACTTCCGGTTAATTGAAAATTAAATAATCTCCAAAATATCGCTATTTTTTTAAACAAGCCATAGAAGGTTGGTTGCAATTTCAGTTTAATCCACTGGAAAAAAAAGATCAAATATTAGAACAAATATGATGGTTAAACTCAAATATGCTAATTGATTAAAAAAAACATTATTTTTGGAAAAACTGTTTAAAAACAGTATAATCTTTGTAAATGATATCATAAATATATGGAAATGTCTGCTCTATCCAAAGTTACAACCAACTAACTGCATCATTACCGCAAAAATGGAAGAGGCAAGTGGAACAGGGAGAAAGTAAGGAACTTGACTGTCGGCCCTGCATTAAAGACCAAAATTGGTTAAAGAAAATTGTGATAAATAAAATAGTATACCAGTTTAATTTAAGGACCAAAAAATTGACAGCTGTGCCATACAGATTGCAAAATAGTTTGGAAAGAGATTTTTGATGGACCGATTCCATGGCACATGCATGGTTTATGAACTGATACACAAAACGATAACGGATTCAAATGTAATTTTAATTATTATTTTCAATTTAAATTACTATACAAAATTATTGCAACCAATAGAATGTTATATGGGGGATACAAACCTCCCAGCTCTACAAATTTTACTGCGAAGAGACAGAATCATTAGATCATTTCTTTTGGTACTGTCCATACGTAGCTTGTTTTTGGTCACAGGTTCAGGAATGGATGAATAATTGCAACATTAACCTGAAGTTAACTCTGTAAATAGCACTGCTGGGTGATCTGAAATGTCCTAGTCAATCTATCAATAATATAATAATACTCTTAGCAATACATTTGATATTTAATTTAAAATCTGTGGAAGCTATGAGAATAGAAAGGTTCAGAGCTTTTGTGAAACATCACAGCACAGCTGAAAAATATATGGCAAATAGAAGTCTAAACTGGATGGTGTTCAGAGATAGATGGGAGGGGTTGAGTGGAGCTGAAGGGTGGGACAAACCCCCCCCAAAAAAACACGATAACCAATGTAAAATATACTGTGTCTGTAAAATTTTGCCTTGCAAAAGCATGCATCCCCCTTGGCGTTTTTCCTATTTTGTTGCATTACAACCTGTAATTTAAATAGATTTTTATTTGGATTTCATGTAATGGACATACACAAAATCTAAGTGTCACATGATCTGTCACATGATTTCAGTATATAACACCTGTTTTGAAAGGCCCCAGAGTCTGCAACACCACTAAGCAAGGGGCACCTCCAAGCAAGCGGCACCATGAAGACCAAGGAGCTCTCCAAACAGGTCAGGGACAAAGTTGTGGAGAGGTACAGATCAGGGTTGGGTTATAAAAAAATATCTGAAACTTTGAACATCACACGGAGCACCATTAAATCCATTATTAAAAAATTGAAAGAATATGGCACCACAACAAACCTGCCAAGAGAGGGCCTCCCACCAAAACTCACAGACCAGGCAAGGAGGGCATTCATCAGAGAGGCAACAAAGAGACCAAAGATAACCCTGAAGGAGCTGCAAAGCTCCACAGCGGAGATTGGAGTATCTGTCCATAGGACCACTTTAAGCCGAACACTCCACAGAGCTGGGCTTTACGGAAGACTGGCCAGAAAAAAAGCCATTGCTTAAAGAAAAAGGCATGTGGGAGACTCCCACATCACTTATCCGCCAATTATTTTTTAGAATTTTTCAGAGATTTTTTTTTAATTTCACTTAACCAATTTGGACTATTTTGTGTATGTCCATTACATGAAATCCAAATAAAAATCCATTTAAATTACAGGTTGTAATGCAACAAAATATGAAAAACGTCAAGGGGGCTGAATACTTTTGCAAGGCACTGTACCCCAAGAGACTTGCAGCTGTAATTGCTGCAAAAGGTGGCTCTACAAAGTATTGACTTTGGTGGGGTGAATAGTTATTTACGCTCAAGTTTTCTGTTTTTTATGTCTTATTTCTTGTTTGTTTCACAATAAAAAATATTTTGCATCTTCAAAGTGGTAGGCATGTTGTGTAAATTAAATGATACAATCCCCTGAAAATCCATTTTAATTCCAGGTTGTAAGGCAACAAAATAGGAAAAATGCCAAGGGGGGTGAATAATTTCACAAGCCACTGTATAAGCGGGAAGTAGAAGTATAGGTGTTGTTGTCCATTAGTTTACTCCAATTAGGGGAGGTAGGGTTAGGGGAAAATAATGAAGGAAAATATATTTTAAAAACTCTCTCTCTCTCTCTCATTTAATTTAAGGGCTTTATTGGTATGGGAAACGTATGTTAACATTGCCAAAGCAAGTGAAGTAGATAGTAAACAAAATTGAAATAAGCAATTATTATTAACAGTAAACATTACACTCAGAAGTTTCAAAAGAATAAAGACATTTCAAATGTCATATTATGTATATATACAGTGTTGTAACAATGTGTCAAGTGCCTTCGGAAACTATTCAAACCCCTTGACTTTTTCCACATTTTGTTAGGTTACAGGCTTATTCTACAATTGATTATATTGTTTTTTCCACCCTCATCAATCTAAACACAATACCCCATAATGACAAAGAAAAAACAGGTCTTTAGAAATTTTTTCTAATAAAACAATAACTGAAATATTACATTTCCTTCATCAAGGATCTCTCTGTACTTTGCTCCGTTCATCTTTGCCTCGATCCTGACTAGTCTCCCAGTCCCTGCCACTGAAAGACATTCGCACAGCATGATTCTGCCACCACCATGCTTCACCGTAGGGATGGTGCCAGGTTTCCTCCAGATGTAAGAGTTCAATCTTGGTTTCATCAGACCAGAGAATCTTGTTTCTCATGGTCTGAGAGTCCTTTAGGTGCCATTTTGGCAAACTCCAAGTGGGCTGTCATGTGCCTTTAACTGAGGAGTGGCTTCCGTCTGGCCACTACCATAAAGGCCTGATTGGTGGAGAGCTGCAGAGATGGTTATCCTTCTGGAAGGTTCTCCTATCTCCACAGAGGAACTCTGGAGCTTTGTCAGAGTGACCATCGGGTTCGTGGTCACCTCCCTGAGCAAGGCCCTTCTCCTCCTATTGCTCAGTTTGGCCGGGTGGCCAGGTCTAGGAAGAGTCTTGGTGGTTCCAAACTTCTTCCATTTAAAAGTGATGGAGGCCACTGTGTTTATGCACATGAGCTCAATTTCGAGTCTCATAGCAAAGTGTCTGAATACTTATGTAAATAAGGTATTTCTGTTTTTATTTAATTTTTTATTTGCAAACATTTCTAAAAACCAGTTTTCACTTTGTCATTATGGGGTATTGTGTGTAGATTGATGATATATATATATATTTTTAATCAATTTTAGAATGTAACAAAATGTGGAAAAAGTCAAGTGGTCTGACTACTTTCCAAATGCACTGTATATATATTTATATAAAAAATATATTGGTGATTGGAAATTTTGCAGACAATGACATTAATAGAAGCCAGATGATCCACCCCCCCACCCCCCCCCCCCAAAAAAAAATAAATAAAAATATGTTTAGGTTACCTGACAGGAACTACCTAGTCTATACCTGTTTGTTAATACACAGGTTTTAGACCACTCAATGTAAAGTTACTTTTAAATTATTTCTTACAAACTTTCAGATCTCACCTCTTCCACACTTGGGACTCCATTTTGGAGGAAAGTTTGGAATTTCACATACATAGGTTGAACAAAAAAAGGGGAGAGCGCGGGGCAGGGGAACTTTGACTTTGAAATATATGGAGGATAGCGGGAAACGAGTAATTCAGCACTCAGGAAGAAAAATATGATTCAGCCTACTCACGAATTAATGCACAGACTGAACTTTCCGATTTGTTACTTGACATATTTTGATACTTTAAAATGTACGTTTTCTCATATTTTTCAGGCGGCTATATTAATTGCACAGTGCAGAGCAGGGCTTGCTGAGAAGCGGTTTGTTTATGTTTAGTGTGTGAGAGTTGATTGGATACGAACGGGACATACAGCAATAGGATCGTAGCTGTTGTTGGTAAACTGGTGTCAGAATCTTGACCTGCGCTGTCACTATTGGCGGGTGTCAGTAAACGAACACTGTCATTTAGCTAACAAACTGGTCACATTGCCATTCACGTTACAGGGCATCTGAATAGGCTATAATCAAAAAATAAATAATTCGGATTCATTGGATGTATTTAGTCTAGTAACAAAACAGTGCCTTTTGTAGCCTATTGAACAGGCGGAGCTATAGCGCACTTTGCGTTTTTGTGGAGAGAAGAGACTAGCTTCTATTCATGCTAAAACGGTGCAAATTCCTTGGTTGCTCCTCTGTAGCTAAGGATATCTGAAGCAAGTAAGTGTAGGATACTACACCCAACATTAGCCTGCACGAAACAGTGCCTGCGTTTACTTTTCGGCTGCACTTGGGAGCTGTCATGCATATACGAAAGAAAGGTGAGAATCTGATTAGTCGGTTTTGTGATAGATAGCACATAGCCTAACATGTAATGGCAGCCTGCTATAAGAGCGATATGCTACATAATTTCAATAGCTGTAGCAAGCTAAATCAAACGACAGCATGCCAATGTAAACGAATAGAAACATTGTTGCCAGTTGTGTTGCCACCTCAACTGATATTGCGCAACAAATGTACTCGCGCAACAAATGTAGCGACAGTCAGACCACGTACTGTATGTTGCATGTGAGTTGTTGCCAATGCATTGTGCCACCTGCTGTCAGTCACCGATTTAAATACGAAACCATAGCCAGTCGGTTGATATCACATAGCTTATATATATATTAATTTGATTATGTTTCAAAGTTGGCATTCATTCATACATTCATTAATTCATTCATTAATTCATTCAATCATTCAATCATTGCCTTGTTGGTTGTTGATATGTTTTGTTTACAGATGCCCAAAGAGCTTTACTGCTCATGGAGGAATACAAGATGAAACTTGGACAGACAGAAGACCAACAACTCAGAGAGTCACTAGAAAGAGTCATCAACATCTTTCAGAGCAACCTCTTTCAAGTCTTGATAGGTAGGATTGCACTTCATTCAAACCTAGGCCTAATGTGGTCACAAACACAAAGTCTGTCAAATCAGTTTTGGTGTTGTGTTGATATTTTATTATCAGCTGTAACAAGTTTTATACAGGTCTATAGTTTTCAGAAATGTCAGGCATGCATATACAGTATTTTGTCAGCAGTTGACTTCCACTACTTTTCCTGTGTATTGTCAGTGTCACCTGACAGGGCCCAAAAAAGTATAAAATAAATAGAGCCTGCACACTCATAAGCTCCACCATGTACCTTTATTCACAAAAAAAAGATGTTTCAATCCTGAAACCCTGCAAACAGGGGACGTCCTAAGGACGTCCAGAGGACCATGACACAACCTCCTGAAGTCCCCGGGACGTCCTATCGACTCATTTCTGTTTGCAGGGAAGGGTCTTCGTCAGGTCACTTGACTAACCTGCTTGAGCAATGCAAACAGGTTTTTCTGTTTTTACCTGGAACATGTCTCTCCCCCACCCGGACCACACTAATCTCACCATGCTCAAGTTGAAATGTTTTACCTAGCAAGGAATACAGTGATTTGATTCAAACAGAATGGTCATTATAAATGTGTATATTCTAATCATTTCAAGTTATGCTGTGCCTTATCTAGGGCTTTATGCCTGTAATAACATAGTAACTACTACACTACTAACTCATTTCAAACTGAATTTGTACAGTTTCCTATCATTACAATTCAGTCATTCTTTTCTGTGGGATATCTTTCAGTTTACAGACTAGTAATAACTTTATTGTTCCCAAAGTAGCCTAGTTGTTTACTAACTATTTGGCATGAAGGCAATGGACATCATGAAAATGATTGGCGAGGTTGAGGGTAGAGGAAGTTCAGGAGTAAAAACAAACAAAATATAATTATTGTAAAATTGACTGTGTCCATAAAATATCTATAGTATGTATAAGTTGGATGTTGAGGCCTAAGAATTGTTGTTCACTAGTTTACTCCAATTAGGGAAGGCGTGGTGGGGTTGGAAAGTAATAAAGGGAAATATATTTTAAAAAAGGGTATATGTGTATGTATGTATGTACAGTGGGGAGAACAAGTACTTGATACACTGCCGATTTTGCAGGTTTTCCTACTTACAAAGCATGTAGAGGTCTGTAATATTTATCATAGGTACACTTCAACTGTGAGAGACGGAATCTAAAACAAAAATCCAGAAAATGACATTGTATGATTTTTAAGTAATTAATTTGCATTTTATTGCATGACATAAGTATTTGATACATCAAAAAAGCAGAACTTAATATTTGGTACAGAAACCTTTGTTTGCAATTACAGAGATCATACGTTTCCTGTAGGTCTTGACCAGGTTTGCACACACTGCAGCAGGGATTTTGGCCCACTCCTCCATACAGACCTTCTCCAGATCCTTCAGGTTTCAGGGCTGTCGCTGGGCAATACGGGCTTTCAGCTCCCTCCAAAGATGTTCTATTGGGTTCAGGTCTGGAGACTGGCTAGGCCACTCCAGGACCTTGAGATGCTTCTTACGGAGCCACTCCTTAGTTGCCCTGGCTGTGTGTTTTGGGACGTTGTCATGCTGGAAGACCCAGCCACGACCCATCTTCAATGCTCTTACTGAGGGAAGGAGGTTGTTGGCCAAGATCTCACGACACATGGCCCCATCCATCCTCCACTCAATACGGTGCAGTCGTCCTGTCCCCTTTGCAGAAAAGCATCCCCAAATAATGATGTTTCCACCTCCATGCTTCACGGTTGGGATGGTGTTCTTGGGATTGTACTCATCCTTCTTCTTCCAAACACGGCGAGTGGAGTTTAGACCAAAAAGCTCTATTTTTGTCTCATCAGACCACATGACCTTCTCCCATTCCTCCTCTGGATCATCCAGATGGTCATTGGCAAACTTCAGACGGGCCTGGACATGCGCTGGCTTGAGCAGGGGGACCTTGCGTGCGCTGCAGGATTTTAATCCATGACGGCGTAGTGTGTTACTAATGGTTTTCTTTGAGACTGTGGTCCCAGCTCTCTTCAGGTCATTGACCAGGTCCTGCCGTGTAGTTCTGGCTGATCCCTCACCTTCCTCATGATCATTGATGCCCCACGAGGTGAGATCTTGCATGGAGCCCCAGACCGAGGGTGATTGACCATCATCTTGAACTTCTTCCATTTTCTAATAATTGTGCCAACAGTTGTTGCCTTCTCACCAAGCTGCTTGCCTATTGTCCTGTAGCCCATCCCAGCCTTGTGCATGTCTACAATTTTATCCCTGATGTCCTTACACAGCTCTCTGGTCTTGGCCATTGTGGAGAGGATGGAGTCTGTTTGATTGAGTGTGTGGACAGGTGTCTTTTATACAGGTAACGAGTTCAAACAGGTGCAGTTAATATAGGTAATGAGTGGAGAACAGGAGGGCTTCTTAAATAAAAACTAAAAGGTCTGTGAGAGCCGGAATTCTTACTGGTTGGTAGGTGATCAAATACTTATGTCATGCAATAAAATGCAAATTAATTACTTAAAAATCATACAATGTGGTTTTCAGGATTTTTGTCTCCACGTACTGTAACTTACAGTTGAAGTGTACCTATGATAAAAATTACAGACCTCTAAATGTTTTGTAAGTAGGAAAACCTGCAAAATCGGCAGTGTATCAAATACTTGTTCTCCCCACTGTATGTGTGTATATATATATAAGTGGTGGTTTTCTGGGACCTGGCCTCCTACCAAAAACATTTCTGGACTGTCTGAGTTACATCTCTGTTTTAAACAGTCTGTGTGTGATTGTGTGCGTGTGTGTGTAGGCTGTTCCCCCTTTTATAGGCCCTGCATTGCAATATAAGTCTAGTATCTTTACTGTTTGTAATGAATACTAAAAAAATTACAAACAGGTTGAGAGTCGTCTATATGCTATCTATTTCAGTAGCCAATAAAGAGTGTGTGCTTTGTACTGTAGATTGCTGGACTATGTAGCAACACGTCTTCTAATATTACCTTTAGATCTAAAGTCATGTCTACCTTTAAGAGACTGGGTGCTCAGTAGACATATACTGTATGTTGCTTTACTCAGTTGTTGTTGTTTTTCCTCCAACTTTTATGTTTTTGGCAAAAGTTGAAGAATGGTCACATTTGATCATAGCAGTACTCATATAAAATGTATTTGAGTGAAAGGTTCCATAAATGTCTGTCTCCCTGTGATAGAAGTTCCGGTCCAGACAGTTAGGCTAACTTTCATTTGATTCCTTTCCACCAGCCCACCCCTGTAGGTAATGCTCATTGGATTGGAACACCTCCATTCACTGGTGTAATTGAAGAGCATGGCTTCTCGACTGGTTAACCACTCCTCATTGTCCTCCTTTACATGCTCTTTTAATCTTATTAGCTGGTTCCCCTGGGTCTCCCTGGCCCTCCTTGGGACTCCCTGGGCCTCCCTGGCTCTTCCTGAGCCTCCCTGGTTCCCTTGGGCCTCCCTGGTTCCCCTGGTTCCCCTGGGTCTCCCTGGGCCTCTCTGGCTCTCCCTGTTTCTCCGGACACTAGGGTTTCATGCTTTGATCAGTTCACACACAGGAGATTTCTTGACCTTGACCCTTGCAAGGATTCACACACATTCCTACATTATACACACGACTGCTGATCAATACATAGACATACAGTACAGTAACCTACTACTACTACACACACACACACACACACACACACACACACACACACACACACACACACACACGCACGCACACTCACTCTGACCCACTCTCGTTCGCTCCTCCCTCCCTCCCTTTGGGACATGTTGCATGGTTGAATGGGATAGGATGGGAAGCAATCTGGGCTGTGTAAGATATGTATAAGAGTCAGGAGTGTAATCCGTCTACTGACATGATTATTCTAATGCTACTGCTGGTAATCTCTTCTGCTTGATTTACTGCCTGTTCCCAGAGCCTTTTCAGGTGTGTGTGTGTGTGTGTGTGTGTCACTTTTCAATACAGAGGCCTAATTCTACTGCAGCTTTATCCAACTCTTATTTGATCTAATTCTCATCATAGTGCAGCAGTGGGCAATGCTTGTTTTGGTTGAATAGAGCCCCAGGTGTTTTACTGTAGCTAACATGAATGTGGCTGCTGCACTCAAAAACATGTTCAAAATGTTTTACAGTTGGTTTACATTTTTGGGCTTCGGCAGCTGTATCAAACCACCTGGCTAGAGATGTGCAGTCAGTGTGCACGTACTGTATGAGTGTGTGTGTGTGTATTTGCTAAATTATGTTTGAGAAGGGAGGATACAGTTGAATATGAATTGCTGAGACACATCCGGTGCGGCAGGTAGCCTAGTGTTAAGAGTCGTAGCCGTAGCCGGCCGCGACCGGTAGACCCATGGGGCGGCACACAATTGGCCTAGCGTCGTCCAGGGTAGGGGAGGGAATGGCCGGCAGGGATGTAGCTCAGTTGGTAGAGCATGGTGTTTGCAACGCCAAGGTTGTGGGTTCGATTCACATGGGGGAATAATGTACTCACTAACTGTAAGGCGCTCTGGATAAGAGCGTCTGCTAAATGACAAAAATTAATCAAATAAAAATAAAGAGCATTGGGCCAGCAATCGAAAGGTCACTGGTTTGAATCCCTGAGCTGACTAGGTGAAAAATCTGTTGGTGTGCTTTGAGCAAGGCCCTTAACCCTAATTGCTCTGGATAAGAGTGTCTGCTAAAATGTAAGGTGATGAATTATATTCATGGTGTGCTCCTCCTCCATCATTGTTGAACCTGTGAGCTCCACTCATCCTCTTACTCTTTCCCCTGTAGTTATCATAGAGCTCCACTCAGGGCCCACTAGGCCACTCCAAGGTATCCTGCTCTAATTATTTCCTACAGAAGCCTATACTATATATAGTCCCAGGCAGTCTTGAATCGTGCAAGGTGAATACAGCAGGCAGGCCAGCTATCTTCAGAAAGGGATGGACGGGAAAGTGCGTCATTAACCTTTGAGCAACTGCATCTTGATTTGGACACGGGTATCGCGAATGTCAATCACTAAGTTGTATTGGACCTGCTATAAGCTGCCTTACTCATTGTGTGTGTGTGTTCTTTTATTTTGGTAATGGTATGATGAGTTGGTGAGAGGGGATTGACCTGAGCCGATCACTTCTGAATGCAGGTCAGAGTCAGCCTGCCTTGACCTGGTGCCCAGGGGTTACAGGTCAAGGGTCAGGGCAAAAGAGTTGTAGAACTCTAACTTTACTAGACCTTGACTAACTTTAACCCTCTGAAGACTACAATTTTTTTTTAGCTAGAATTTCTGAGAAATGAGTATGTGAGGCAGAAAAAATAACACAATAGTTATAAGCTGTAATACTGTAGCCCTGTAATTCCTTCCCACTTCCTTCCTGTGGCAGGTTGTGACCTTAGACAGTTCTCAGTAATCCTTGGCTTTCCCCTTAAAGGTGTTACACCTAGAATGTCTTACTTATGTGGAAGCTAAGTGAATTGCAACAGCACTAGGCTGCATTCAAAACAAATCTCCCACCTCCCATGCATCCCATTTCCCCGTAACTGTCACGCCCTGGCTCTGGGACTCTGTTATGTTGAGCCAGGGTGTGTGGTTTCTATGTGTTTTGTGTGCTAGGGTGATTATCTAGTTCATTTGTTTCTATGTTGGCCGGTGTGGTTCTCAATCAGAGGCAACGTGTATCAGCTGTTGCTTGTTGTCTCTGATTGGGGACCATACTTAGGCAGCCTGTTTTCCACAGTGTGTTGTGGGATCTTGTTCCGTGTTTGGTTAGTGTCTATTGCCAAGGACGTCACGTATCGTTTTGTTGTTTTGTTCGTGTGATCATTAAAAATAAAAGTATGTTCACTCATCACGCTGCGCATTGGTCCACTTCCTCCAGCGATCGTGACAGAAGATCCCACCATAACTGGACCAAGCAGCGTGTCCAGGAGCCAACGCCAGAGAGGGCTCTAAAGGATATCAACCTCGACTGGGTCAAGCAGCGTGAGGAGGAGAGAGGCTGGACTTGGGAGCAGAGGAGCGAGAGTCTGGCGAGAGCCATGGATGCCTGGCCCACGGGGAGGAGAGACGCCCAGAAAATGTTTAGGGGGGGGCTCACGCCGTGGACGACGGGGCAGCAGGAGGCCGGGATAGAGTGGTTCAGCGGGTTGGCAAAGGAGGCCGCCAGGTTACGGGAGTCACTGCTCACCAGGGGGAAGGAGAATGTAGAGGCATGGCGAGAGGTACTGGGGTGTGTTGCCAGTCCGGTCCGGCCCGTTCCTGATCCCCGCACCAAGCCTGTGGTGCGCTTCGTCAGCCCGGTCCGGCCCATTCCTGCTCCCCGCACCAAGCCTGTGGTGCGCTTCGTCAGCCCGGTTCGGCCCGTTCCTGCTTCCCGCACCAAGCCTATGGTGCGCGTCGCCAGCCCGGCCCGGCCTGTTCCTGCTCCCCGCACCAAGCCAATGGTGCGCGTCGCCAGCCCGGTTCGGCCCATCCCTGCTCCCCGCACCAAGTCTATGGTGCGCGTCGCCAGCCCGGTCCGGCCCGGTCCGGCCCGTTCCTGCTCCCCGCACCAAGCCTGTGGTGCGCGTCGTCAGTCCGGCACATCCCGTGCCTGGGTCACCGGTGCCTGGTCAGGTACCGGTTAGCTGCTCCACATCGGAGCCTGAGCGATCCGCTCCACCGATGTCCAGTCCAGATCCAGCCAGCAGGGCCAGACCGGACCAGGGGCGCTATGGGGGGTTTGTTGGAGGGTGGGGGTCAAGCCCGGAGCCGGAACCGCCTCCGAGGAGGAATGCCCACCCGGCCCTCCCCTGTTCGGTTTATGTTTGGCGCGGTCGCAGTCCGCGCCTTTGGGAGGGGGTACTGTCACGCCCTGGCTCTGGGACTCTGTTATGTTGAGCCAGGGTGTGTGGTTTCTATGTGTTTTGTGTGCTAGGGTGATTATCTAGTTCATTTGTTTCTATGTTGGCCGGTGTGGTTCTCAATCAGAGGCAACGTGTATCAGCTGTTGCTTGTTGTCTCTGATTGGGGACCATACTTAGGCAGCCTGTTTTCCACAGTGTGTTGTGGGATCTTGTTCCGTGTTTGGTTAGTGTCTATTGCCAAGGACGTCACGTATCGTTTTGTTGTTTTGTTCGTGTGATCATTAAAAATAAAAGTATGTTCACTCATCACGCTGCGCATTGGTCCACTTCCTCCAGCGATCGTGACAGTAACATGGCGGAGACTCGCGCTTGAGCTTTCAGTTTTGGTCCACCAGCCTAAAACAGCTGTAAAAACTATATTTTTTGTTATTGAAAATATATTTCACAGCGATTTAGATGGTACAATGATTCCCTACACTATTGAGTGCTTGTTTTCTCACATAAACTGAAATTGAGCGAACAGTGTAGAATTCTAGCGACCAGGAAATGACAGAGCGATTTATACGTTGGCCACTTGACCCGATTTCCACTAGATAACACAGCCACAAAAACAGCTTTGCCATTTTGAGAAATCGATACGCGAATATCAAGGCCAATGACAACACTGGCAGGTAAGTAATACTGTGAAACACTCTGTGTGGCTCAGTTGGTAGAGCATGGCGCTTGCAACGCCAGGGTTGTGGGTTCGATTCCCACGGGAGACCAGTATGAAAATGTATGCATTCACTACTGGATAAGAGCGTTGGCTAAATGTAAAACATTATTATTACAGATATATTAAGGACATTTTCTGAAATTACTATGCAAAAATGCAAAAATTCCTGTGTAGCACCTTTAAGTGTTGTCTAATCTCCTTACCTGATCTAGGCTCTGTGATGCCCTGCAAACAACCCTCCATTTTGTAACCACACTGGCTGGAGGAAGGGAAGGGCAGGGCAGCACTGCTGTGCCCTCTTCAGAACCATGCCTAACTCAGACCTATATTTGTACTCGACAAAGTCAAACTATCATCCATGTTGGATTCAAATGCTCCACGATAAAAGCATTGTCATTTGTATTTTCAAAATGCAAAAATAGCGCTCATAGAAATTCTAAATGCTAAACAGAGTTTGCAGACTTTACAAAAACGTTTATTTTGTATTTAGTTCCCACAAAATGCTAGATAATGTGTTCCTTTGAATTGAGGTCTGGTCTGCTATTCTCGTACAATTCCTGCTTGTTCTTTTATTTTTACGAGATCCTTTAGCATTGTCAGCATGAGGCTGTTATTTTGTATTTTTTTTCGGCCATTTTCTGGTGTGAACAACGTGTAGCTTGTCTCTAGTTGGCTCTAGCCTTTTGGGGGCCCTAAGCGAGATCTGTTTGAGGGGCCCCACACCTTGCGGCAAAACATTTTATTGGCCCCTCTCTTGACAGTGGAGAGAATTTTAACTTTTAAAGGTAATTTCCTGCAATTTTACTAGGGCTGTCCCCGACGGTTGACCGAGAGTCGTCTGTTCTTTAGAGTATGATTGGTCGAAATGTTTAAACGTGTATTTTTCCATATAGACACACCCTATGAGTTTGAATATAATCAACTATATGCACTGAGCTTGTCTGATGCTTCAAGCGCACTGTTTGATTAAATAATTAAGACACACAAATAGGCCTGTGGCGGTCATGAAATTTCGTCAGCCGGTGATTGTCAAGCAAATAACTGCCGGTCTCACGTCATTTACCGTTAATTAACACAAACACATTTAGCATCTCCTGTATTCCACACATAGCCTACAAGCCACTGATGCAGACCTTTGGAACATCTACATTTTAAAAAGTCTAATAAATCCATGTAATATAGCCTACACAATCACATTAAATCCATTATTTATTTTAGACAGGTCTAAAGAAACATGATATGAAGAAAATGTAGTCTATTTCAGAAGAACAGAGTAGCATACTCTGAGTTGTCCTTATGTTAGGGACTGATCTGACTATGCCATATGACTGTGGATTACACTAGTTCATTTAGCAGACAAGATTTGCTTAGAATTCAGTGGAATTATTTTATATTATTTTATAATATGAAGAATACAATTGAACATAGCTGAATAAAATAGGAAGGATATATTCTCCAAACGATTTGAGGGAGTGCGCACATGCGGCTATTCTGTGTTGAGTAGTTAACAAAGAAACAGGTACAGTGGGGAAAAAAAGTATTTAGTCAGCCACCAATTGTGCAAGTTCTCCCACTTAAAAAGATGAGAGAGGCCTGTAATTTTCATCATAGGTACACGTCAACTATGACAGACAAAATGAGGAAAAAAAATCCAGAAAATCACATTGTAGGATTTTTAATGAATTTATTTGCAAATTATGGTGGAAAATAAGTATTTGGTCAATAACAAAAGTTTCTCAATACTTTGTTATATACCCTTTGTTGGCAATGACACAGGTCAAACGTTTTCTGTAAGTCTTCACAAGGTTTTCACACACTGTTGCTGGTATTTTGGCCCATTCCTCCATGCAGATCTCCTCTAGAGCAGTGATGTTTTGGGGCTGTCGCTGGGCAACACGGACTTTCAACTCCCTCCAAAGATTTTCTATGGGGTTGAGATCTGGAGACTCCAGGACCTTGAAATGCTTCTTACGAAGCCACTCCTTCGTTGCCCGGGCGGTGTGTTTGGGATCATTGTCATGCTGAAAGACCCAGCCACGTTTCATCTTCAATGCCCTTGCTGATGGAAGGAGGTTTTCACTCAAAATCTCACGATACATGGCCCCATTCATTCTTTCCTTTACACGGATCAGTCGTCCTTGTCCCTTTGCAGAAAAACAGCCCCAAAGTATGATGTTTTCACTCCCATGCTTCACAGTAGGTATGGTGTTCTTTGGATGCAACTCAGCATTCTTTGTCCTCCAAACACGACGAGTTTAGTTTTTACCAAAAAGTTATATTTTGGTTTCATCTGACCATATGACATTCTCCCAATCCTCTTCTGGATGCACTCTAGCAAACTTCAGACGGGCCTGGACATGTACTGGCTTAAGCAGGGGGACACGTCTAGCACTGCAGGATTTGAGTCCCTGGCGGCGTAGTGTGTTACTTATGGTAGGCTTTGTTACTTTGGTCCCAGCTCTCTGCAGGTCATTCACTAGGTCCCCCCGTGTGGTTCTGGGATTTTTGCTCACCGTTCTTGTGATCATTTTGACCCCACGGGGTGAGATCTTGCGTGGAGCCCCAGATCGAGGGAGATTATCAGTGGTCTTGTATGTCTTCCATTTCCTAATAATTGCTCCCACAGTTGATTTCTTCAAACCAAGCTGCTTACCTATTGCAGATTCAGTCTTCCCAGCCTGGTGCAGGTCTACAATTTTGTTTCTGGTGTCCTTTGACAGCTCTTTGGTCTTGGCCATAGTGGAGTTTGGAGTGTGACTGTTTGAGGTTGTGGACAGGTGTCTTTTATACTGATAACAAGTTCAAACAGGTGCCATTAATACAGGTAACGAGTGGAGGACAGAGGAGCCTCTTAAAGAAGAAGTTACAGGTCTGTGAGAGCCAGAAATCTTGCTTGTTTGTAGGTGACCAAATACTTATTTTCCACCATAATTTGCAAATAAATTCATTAAAAATCCTACAATGTGATTTTCTGGATTTTTTTCCCTCAATTTGTCTGTCATAGTTGACGTGTACCTATGATGAAAATTACAGGCCTCTCTCATCTTTTTAAGTGGGAGAACTTGCACAATTGGTGGCTGACTAAATACTTTTTTTCCCCACTGTACTCCTATATGCTTAATTTAGAGTTATTTATGTAGCTTTACATGCTGACTAGACCGGGCGCGCGTGTTGATTTTGTCCAACCACACCAAACGCGATCAGGACAAGCAGGTTGAAATATCAAAACGAACTCTGAACCAACAATATTAATTTGGGGACAGGTCGAAAAGCATTAAATATTTATGTCAATTTAGCTAGCTAGCTTGCTGTTGCTAGCTAATTTGTCCTGGGATATAAACATTGGGTTGTTATTTTACCTGATATGCACAAGGTCCTCTACTCCGACAATTAATCTACAGATAAAAGGGTAAACAGAGTTAGTTTCTAGTAATCTCTCCTCCTTCAGGCTTCTCTTCTTCTTCTTTGGACTTTATATGGCGGTTGGCAACCAACTTTAAGGTGCATTAACCCCACCAACTGGACTGGAGTGTGTACCTCAGTTCATCTTTCAATCACCCACATGGGAATATGCTCCTAAAAACCAATGAGGAGATGGGTGAGGCGGGACTTGCAGCGCGTCAAGCGTCACAAATGGAACCAAGTTCTATTTTAGCGCCTGGCTACGCAGACGCTCGTTGACGTGCACGAGCAGTGTGGGTGCAATGATTGAATAACATGTATGTGTACATTTCTTTTGCAATGCTCGCACACGCGACGCAAGCGGTGTGGTCAGCATGTTAGTTGTGATACAAACGTTGGGCTATATGTTTAGATTTTTTATACATTCTAAGGCTGCATGATGCGACTCTCTCATTAAAAATTTGACAAGCACTTGATAATGCCTCAAATTTCCCAGCGGCATCCCCTTTGTGTGGCCGTAATGTCCCCTAAAAAAATCCATGCCTTTTGCGGCATTTCCAAAGCACCTTTCACTCAAATAGCTCTCTGTCACGTGAGTGGGTCTTTCTCACAGGCTACAAGTGAAAACAGACACATCGGGGACGCAACTGCGCGCGTCCTTATCCAATACCGAGTCGCATATTGAAGATATTGGAAGAACTGTCCACATTTACTTTTCATCAGCCAACAAGATGAGGAGGCCTAACGAACAGCAAAAGCACTAGCCTATGTCAATCTACTATCCCTCATAGTACAAGTTGATCTGTTCTATTCTATTCTGTGTGAGAAATACATATTTACATAGTGGCACCGGAGAAGATGGCTGCCGTTTTACAGCCCTCTAACCAATTGTACTATTATGTGTGTTTTTCCGTGTTATTTGTAATTTATTTTGTACATAATGTTTCTGCCATCGTCTCTTATAACTAAAAATAGCTTCTGGATATCAGGACAGCGATTACTCACCTCGTATTGAACTAATAATTTTTCTTCAACGAGGCGGCCGCGAAGGATATCCTACAGACACCCGACAAGGCCCAAATCCCCGTCATTCGCATGAGGAAGAGACGGAGATATCGTGGACGTAGGTTGGGGTGCCTTGTAAGGATCCGACGGCAAGCGAGTAAACTGCCGCTCCCATCAATTCTATTAGCCAATCTTCAATCATTGGAAAATAAATTGGATGACCTAAGATTACGGTTATCCTACCAACGGGACATTAAAAACTGTAATATCTTATGTTTCACCGAGTCGTGGCTGAACGACGACATGGATAACATACAGCTAGCGGGCTATACGCTACATCGGCAGGATAGAACGGCTGACTCCAGTAAGACAAGGGGTGGTGGTCTGTGTATATTTGTAAACAACAGCTGGTGCACAAAATCAAATACTAAGGAAGTCTCAAGGTTTTGCTCGCCTGAGGTAGAGTATCTTATGATAAGCTGTAGACCACACTATTTACCAAGAGAGTTTCATCTATATTTTTCATAGCTGTCTATTTACCACCACAAACCAATGCTGGCATTAAGATTGCACTGAATGAGCTGTATAAGGCCATAAGTCAACAGGAAAACGCTCATCCAGAGGCAGCGCTCCTAGTGGCCGGGGACTTTAATGCAGGGAAACTTAAATCCGTTCTACCTCATTTCTACCAGCATGTTAAATGTGCAACCAGAGGAAAAAAAACTCTAGACCACCTTTACTCCACACACAGAGACGCATACAAAGCTCTCCCTCGCCCTCCATTTGGCAAATCTGACCATAACTCTATCCTCCTGATTCCTGCTTATAAGCAAAAACTAAAGCAGGAAGCACCAGTGACTCGGTTAATAAAAAAGTGGTCAGATGACGCAGATGCTAAGCTACAGGACTGTTTTGCTAGCACAGACTGGAACATGTTCCGGGATTCTTCAGATAGCATTGAGGAGTACACCACATCAGTCACTGGCTTCATCAAGTGCATAAGTGCATCGATGATGTCGTCCCCACAGTGACCATACGTACATACCCCAACCAGAAGCCATCAAGGAGCGGGACTCTAACTCGGACGCTTATAAGAAATCCCGCTATGCCCTCCGACGAACCATCAAACAGGCAAAGAGTCAATACAGGACTAAGATTGAATCGTACTACACCGGCTCTGACGCTCGTCGGATGTGGCAGGGCTTGAAAACTATTACAGACTACAAAGGGAAGCACAGCCGCGAGCTTTCCAGTGACACAAGCCTACCAGACGAGCTAAACCACTTCTATGCTCGCTTCGAGGCAAGCAACACTGAAGCATGCATGAGAGCACCAGCTGTTCCGGATGACTATTTGATCACGCTCTCCGTAGCCGATGTGAGTAAGACTTTTAAGCAGGTCAACATTCACAAGGCCGCAGGGCCAGACCGATTACCAGGACGTGTACTCCGAGCATGTGCTGACCAACTGGCAAGTGTCTTCACTGACATTTTCAACATGTCCCTGACTGAGTCTGTAATACCAACATGTTTCAAGCAGACCACCATAGTCCCCGTGCCCAAGGACACTAAGATAACCTGCCTAAATGACTACCGACCCGTAGCACTGACGTCTGTAGCCATGAAGTGCTTTGAAAGGCTGGTCATGGCTCACATCAACACCATTATCCCAGAAACCCTAGACCCACTCCAATTTGCATACCGCTCCAACAGATCCACAGATGATGCAATCTTTATTGCACTCCACACTGCCCTTTCCCACCTGGACAAGAGGAACACCTACGTGAGAATGCTATTCATTGACTACAGCTCAGCATTCAACACCATAGTGCCCTCAAAGCTCATCACTAAGCTAAGGATCCTGGGACTAAACACCTCCCTCTGCAACTGGATCCTGGACTTCCTGACGGGACGCCCCCAGGTGGTAAGGGTAGGTAACAACACATCTGCCACACTGATCCTCAACACGGGGGCCCCTCAGGGGTGCGTGCTCAGTCCCCTCCTGTACTCCCTGTTCACCCGTGACTGCATGGCCAGGCACGACTCCAACACCATCATTAAGTTTCCCGACGACACAACAGTGGTAGGCCTGATCACCGAAAACGATGAGACAGCCTATAGGGAGGAGGTCAGAGACCTGGCCATGTGGTGCCAGGATAACAACCTCTCCCTCAACGTGACCAAGACAAAGGAGATGATTGTGGACTACAGGGAAAAAAAGAGGACTGAGCACGCCCCCATTCTCATCGACGGGGCTGTAGTGGAACAGGTTGAGAGCTTCAAGTTCCTTGGTGTCCAAATTATACAGCTGCACCATCGAGAGCATCCTGACTGGTTGCATCACCGCCTGGTATGCAACTGCTTGGCCTCCGACCGCAAGGCACTACAGAGGGTAGTGCGTACGGCCCAGTACATCACTGGGGCCAAGCTTCCTGCCATCCAGGACCTCTATACCAGGCGGTGTCAGAGGAAGGTCCTCAAAATTGTCAAAGACTCCAGTCACCTTAGTCATAGACTGTTCTCTCTGCTACCGCACGGCAAGCGGTACCGGAGTTCCAAGTCTAGGTCCAAAAGACTTCTCAACAGCTTCTACCCCCAAGCCATAAGACTCCTGAACAGCTAATCATGGCTACCCGGACTATTTGCACTGCCCCCCCACCCCATCTTTTTACGCTGCTGCTACTCTGTTAATTATTTATGCATAGTCACTTTAACTCTACCCACATGTACATATTACTTCAACTACCTCAACTAGCCGGTGCCCCCGCACATTGACTCTGCACCGGTACCCCCCTGTATATATAGCCTCCCTACTGTTATTTTATTTTACTTCTGCTCTTTTTTCTCAACACTTTTTTGTTGTTGTTTTATTTTACTTTTTTATAAAAAATAAATGCACTGTTGGTTAAGGGCTGTAAGTAAGCATTTCACTGTAATGTCTGCACCTGTTGTATTCGGCGCATGTTGCCAATAAAATTTGATTTGATTTGATTTGATTTGGGACAGTTGTGGGATGGGATAGATCCCAAATTAATACAACCACTAGCATAAAAAAAACAGTTTTGAGCAATGAGGCTGACACAACAGATCAGAACTTATAGTTGATAAACTATTAGGCTATTTCTTCACATAATAAGCTCAGCAATGCGCACATGGCAGTAGGCTATTAGCGCGAATGTTCCATTAGCAGGAAAACACCATTCTCAAAAGTGACCGCAAATGCGATTATGCATATAATGCTTTTATTATAAAGGTTCATTGTTATGGTGAAAATTATCTTTCTCAAACTTGAAACTCACTTGCTGCGTACGTATGCCAGTTAGGCTCTAAACCCGCTGTAAAGCGAATTCATGTGCTTCATTTTAAGAAGTTATTTGGCCGCTTTAGGGCTATGGGCTAGGCTACATAAGGTGTGCGACTATGATTAGAAAAAGTTGCAAAAAAAAGGAATGCGTTTCTTGCCTTACAGCACACAAGCTGGGCATCATTGACAAGGGATAATATATAATTCACAAGTGATAGGCTAATATTGTCACCCATCAGACTATTCTTGATTTAATCTTGTATTTACATACGCTAAACAATATATGTGTGAAATTTGTTTTGATTTAGAATGGACCATTATCATGCACCTGTTGGAATAGGGGCAGGGGAAAGAAATACATGTCATCTATAAACTTAAATAGCGAATGGAGGACTCTTTTCCCGTGGTTAATTATTCATGCCAGCCAAGTAGGCTATACTCCTGTTGTAAAAAGAAGCAATATGCTTAATATTAGGAAAGTTGAGAAATAAATATAGGAGGCCTAGCCTATAGAAAGCTGATGGGATCCTCCTCTTTTTAATAGAGTCCAATTGCATAGCCTATAGAAATGTAGCGCAACATGAGCTCATGGGCTCTCATGAAGTGTTTGATTAGATCTTCGATTACATTTGCATTGATTTCAGAGTGATTAGAGGGACAATATAGTTCTGAGTACCAGGCAGTTAGCAAGTTTTGTAGGCTACTAATGACCATCAGCAGCATCAGAGCTTGGAGAAGCCTAATTTCCGTGACTAAATGGTCAAGTGGAATTTGACTGCCATCATGACTCATGACCGCCGGTGTGGCGGTAATACGGTCACCGTAACAGGCCTGCACACAAATGACTCAAGAGGGAGACCAATGGCCACGCTGTGTGACTGGCGCATGTTGTCTCTCTCTCCTCCTTGCTGCAGCGAACAGGCACCTCAGCACAGCAAGTGTTTATCGCAATGTCCATGCTGAAGCTGCAATATAATTACAGCCATTTGGTTTCTTACTTGTTTCTTTGACTGAAAAGTTATATTACCGAAATACCTCATTTGTTTAGGAAAAACATTCCCTATTCCCTCAACCCTTGCTCTCTTTACGTGAAACATGTATGCATTGCATGCATGTGACCGATAAGGCCTGACCTATAGCCTATCATAATCACATCAATAAATCGGTAATAACTAACTCTGAACACCGTAACACGTGACAGCAAAATGGATGCGGAGGACGTAAAAAATTATCTCGAAATGGGGGAATGTTTACAGGTTGCTCAGGAGGGAAAGGGGAAGTCAGATGTGTGGAAGACATTTGACTTAGTTGTGGAAACTACTGGAGATCAAGAAAGAGGAGGGTATAGGAGCAAGCGCTGCGTGAGTATTGTGTGCCAAACAAGTGCTGAACGATTACAATATAATGATTTCTTCTGACCTTTTTTAACAGCTCATGAGAGTGTTTTTTGAAATAATACTGACATTTTGAGAAATATGAATAACATTCCACCCATGAGGCCACTAGGTAATTTGACTGCAGGAAAGTGCTAGACAAACATTTACATTTGCAATAGAAGCTGGATCTGTCTTATTTCTGTAGATATACAGTATATATGGATGATTTATAAAGCTGTTACATAAAGCCAGGCACGTTTAACAGTTAAGCTATTGATTATAGACCTAATTAAGTTTGGGTTTCCTCTCTCCTCAATTTTCTTAGACAATTAAGGCAAGGTCTGTTTCCTCGACTCGTCTTTTCGTTGCTCCCTCCGCCTCATTGTTCTCAACACCAATATGCTAACTTCACTATTATGCACATAGCAACATACAGTTGAAGTCGGAAGTTTACATACACCTTAGCCAAATACATTTAAACTCAGTTTTTCACAATTCCTGACATTTAATCCTAGTAAAAATTCCCTGTCTTAGGTCAGTTAGGATCACCACTTTATTTGAAGAATGTGAAATGTCAGAATAATATTAGAGAGTGATTTATTTCAGCTTTTATTTCTTTCATTGCATTCCCAGTGGGTCAGAAGTTTACACACACTCAATTAGTATTTGGTAGCATTGCCTTTAAATTGTTTAACTTGGGTCAAACGTTTCGGGTAGCCTTCCACAAGCTTCCCACAATAAGTTGGGTGAATTTTGGCCCATTCCTCCTGACAGAGCTGGTGTAACTGAGTCAGGTTTGTAGGCCTCCTTGCTCGCACACGCTTTTTCAGTTCTGCCCACACATTTTCTATAGGATTGAGGTCAGGGCTTTGTGATAGCCACTCCAATACCTTGACTTTGTTGTCCTTAAGCCATTTTGCCACAACTTTGGAAGTATGCTTGGGGTCATTGTCCATTTGGAAGACCCATTTGCGACCAAGCTTTAACTTCCTGACTGATGTCTTGAGATGTTGCTTCAATATAGCCACATCATTTTCCTTTCTCATGATGCCATCTATTTTGTGAAGTGCACCAGTCCCTCCTGCAGCAAAGCACCCCCACAGCATGATGCTGCCACCCCCGTGCTTCATGGTTGGGATGGTGTTCTTCGGCTTGCAAGCCCCCCCTTTTTCCTCCAAACATAACGATGGTCATTATAGCCAAACAGTTATATTTTTGTTTCATCAGACCAGAGGCATTTCTCCAAAAAGTACGATCTTTGTCCCCATGTGCAGTTGCAAACCGTAGTCTGGCTTTCTTATGGCGGTTTTGGAGCAGTGGCTTCTTCCTTGCTGAGCGGCCTTTCAGGTTATGTCGTAATAGGACTAGTTTTACTGTGGATATAGATACTTTTGTACCTGTTTCCTTCAGCATCTTCACAAGGTCCTTTGCTGTTGTTCTGGGATTGATTTGCACTTTTCGCACCAAATTACGTTAATCTCTAGGAGACAGAATGCGTCTCCTTCCTGAGCGGTATGACGGCTGCGTGGTCCCATTGTGTTTATACTTGCCTACTATTGTTTGTACAGATGAACCAGACTTGTGGAGGTCTACAAATTTTTTTCTGAGGTCTTGGCTGATTTCTTTTGATTTTCCCATGATGCCAAGCAAAGAGGCACTGAGTTTGAAGGTAGGCCTTGAAATACATCCACAGGTACACCGCCAATTGACTCAAATGATGTCAATTAGCCTATCAGAAGCTTCTAAAGCCATGGCATCATTTTCTGGAATGTTCCAAGCTGTTTAAAGGCACAGTCAACCTAATGTATGTAAACTTCTGACCCACTGGAATTGCGATACAGTGAATTATAAGTGAAATAATCTGTCTGTAAACAATTGTTGTAAAAATTACTTGTCGTAACCGACTTGCCAAAACTATAGTTTGTTAACAAGAAATTTGTGGAGTGGGTGAAAAACGAGTTATAATGACTCCAACCTAAGTGTATGTAAACTTCCAACTTCAACTGTATATGGAAAGGTGCCAATTCACCGGCGCTCTGAAGATTATGTTTCAGATCCACAGACAGCGACTGCTATCCATCGCGGGAGAAAGCACAATTATTATAAAATAATATTATATTTATTAGCGTTGCACCATTATTCTTACATAATATATATACAGTCATGGCCAAAATTGTTGGCACCCCTGAAATTTTTCCAGAAAATGAAGTATTTCTCACAGAAAAGTATTGAAATTACACATGTTTTGCTATGCACATGTTTATTTCCTTTGTGTGTATTGGAATAACACAAAAAAAAACAGGAAAAAAGCAAATTTGACATAATTTCACACAAAACTAAAAAAATGGGCCGGACAAAGTTATTGGCACCCTTTCAAAATTGTGGATAAATAAGTTTGTTCCAAGCATGTGATGCTCCTTTAAACTCACCTGGGGCAAGTAACAGGTGTGGGCAATCTAAAAATCACACCTGAAAGCAGATAAAAAGGAGAGAAGTTGACTCAGTCTTTGCATTGTGTTTCTGTGTGTGCCACACTAAGCATGGAGAACAGAAAGAGGAAAAGAGAACTGTCTGAGGACTTGAGAACCAAAATTGTGGAAAAATATCAACAATCTCAAGGTTACAAGTCCATCTCCAGAGATCTAGATGTTCCTTTGTCCACAGTGCGCAACATGATCAAGAAGTTTGCAACCCATGGCACTGTAGCTAATCTCCCTGGACGTGGACGGAAGAGAAAAATTGATGAAAGGTTGCAACGCAGGATAGTCCGGATGGTGGATAAGCAGCCCCAAACAAGTTCCAAAGAAATTCAAGCTGTCCTGCAGGCTCAGGGTGCATCAGTGTCAGCGCGAACTATACGTCGAAATTTGAATGAAATGAAACGCTATGGCAGGAGACCCAGGAGGACCCCACTGCTGACACAGAGACATAAAAAAGCAAGACTACAGTTTGCCAAAATGTACATGAGTAAGCCAAATTCCTTCTGGGAGAACGTCTTATGGACAGATGAGACCAAGATAGAGCTTTTTGGTAAAGCACATCGTTCTACTGTTTACCGAAAATGTAATGAAGCCTTGAAAGAAAAGAACACAGTACCTACAGTCAAATATGGTGGAGGTTCAAAGATGTTTTGGGGTTGTTTTGCTGCCTCTGGCACTGGGTGCCTTGACTGTGTGCAAGGCATCATGAAATCTGAGGATTACCAAAGGATTTTGGGTCGCAATGTAGGGCCCAGTGTCAGAAAGCTGGGTTTGCGTCCGAGATCATGGGTCTTCCAGCAGGACAATGACCCCAAACATACTTCAAAAAGCACCCAGAAATGGATGGCAACAAAGCGCTGGAGAGTTCTGAAGTGGCCAGCAATGAGTCCAGATCTTAATCCCATTGAACACCTGTGGAGAGATCTTAAAATTGCTGTTGGGAAAAGGCACCCATCCAATATGAGAGACCTGGAGCAGTTTGCAAAAGAAGAGTGGTCCAAAATTCCGGGTGAGAGGTGTAAGAAGCTTATTGATGGTTATAGGAAGCGACTGATTTCAGTTATTTTTTCCAAAGGGTGTGCAACTAAATATTAAGTTAAGGGTGCCAATCATTTTGTCCGGCCCATTTTTTGAGTTTTGTGTGAAATTATGTCAAATTTGCTTTTTTCCTGTTTTTTTTGTGTTATTCCAATACACACAAAGGAAATAAACATGTGCATAGCAAAACATGTGTAATTTCAATACTTTTCTGTGAGAAATACTTCATTTTCTGGAAAAATTTCAGGGGTGCCAACAATTTTGGCCATGACTGTATATAACCATTTACAATTTCAGTATCACGTCTTAGAGTGAAGGACTGTGCCATCCCCGTGGGCTCCGCAATGGATTAGTCCACTGAGACAGGCGCGACTCAGACAGATGTCTTGTGCACCATAAGAAATAATAAAACATTTTGATTGTTCGACTAAAGAAATCTCAGTCGACCAACAGCCAATCAGCCCTACAATGCTTACAGATTCTCCACTCCCCATTCACCTCATGGACATTAATCCATTCTTCTCCCTACTCATTCAGATATCCAGGAGTTTTATGAAGCGACCTTACAGGACGGCCAGGCATGTGTGGAGCTATCCAAGCCAGCGGAGCCCCCTGCTCCCCCTGTCACCCTGTGGGACTTCTCCAGCCTGCCCTCCCCCTCCACCGCTGTCACCTCTGACACCCTGCCCAGCAGCCTTACACCCAGCATAGAGGTAAGCACACTTTATAGCACTGATATAAGCACTTATAAGTTATGTTATTAGCATTTATATGGTAAAAACCCTGTTTATATTGCCCCAATCTGTCCACTAGAACCAAATGTGGTAAGCCAGCCTGCTGCTCACTGTTTCCATAGCCCTCCTCTGTCGGACTATGTGTATGGCTATGTGGTCAGTCACCATACATTGTTCTTTGGGTGTTTGGGCTTAGGTTTAAGTCTTGAGTTTGAGTCTCTTTGTGTGTGTGAAAAATGATAATCCTCCTCTGTAATGTACAGCTACAGCGGTGTGGCGTCAGTACTGATACCTGTTTGTATGAGATCAAATAAAATCAAGCTTTATTTACACAACACATTTCAGACATGGAATGCAACACAATGTGCTTCACAAAAAAATAAAAATAAAAATGAAAATACTAATATTTACTACATGACAAACATAAGAGGATAAAAAAACAAAAGAATAACAATAAAAACTGAACGACTAGAAAGATGTGTTTTAAGATCTCTTTAAAGAATGTCCACAGTTTCGGCCCCCTTTAGGTTCTCTGGCAGGCTATTCCAGAGGCTGGGGGCATAGTAACTAAAGGCTGCCTCTCCATGCCTCTTGGTCCTAGGCTTTGGGATAGTTAAAAGGCCAGTGCCAGAGGACCTGAGGGACATACTGTGTACATAACTTAAAAGCATGTCTGACATGTATTGGGGTGCACAATCGTGGATTGATTTAAAAACCAATAGAATAATCTTAAAATTAATTCTAAAACTCACAGGCAGCCAGTACAGAGACCTTAAAAACCGGTGTAATGTGTGCTCTCCGTCTGGTCTTGGTCAGTACCCATGCTGCAGCATTCTGTATGTTTTGCAGTTGACCAATGGCTTTCTTGGGTAGACCAGACAGGAGAGTATTACAGTAGTCAAGCCTGCTTGTAATAAGCATGGATGAGTCTCTCTGTATCAGCCTGAGAGTGAAATGGCCGCACCTTGGCAATGCTCCTCAGGTGGAAAAAATCTATTTTGGTCAAATTCCTAATGTGTGATTCGAAATTGAGTTCAGAATCTAAAATAACACCTAGGTTTTTTACCTGGTTTTTTATTTTAATTGCCTGTGAATTAAAATGTGCGGCCAGATTCTCTCTCTGTGCTTTGGCTCCAACAATAAGTATGTCGGTCTTGTCTTGATTTAGCTGGAGGAAGTTGTGAGCCATCCAAGTTTTTAAATCAATAATAGAGTCTAATAATTTATCCGTGGAGCTAAAATCCTCTGGTGACACAGAAATGTAAAGTTGTGTATCTTCTGCGTAGCAGTGAAAATCAATGCTGTGCTTTCTGATAACGCAGCCAAGGGGTATCATACAGTGGGTAAAAAAAGTTTTTAGTCAGCCACCAATTGTGCAAGTTCTCCCACTTAAAAAGATGAGAGAGGCCTGTAATTTTCATCATAGGTACACATCAACTATGACAGACAAAATGAGAATTTCTTTCTCCAGAAAATCACATTGTAGGATTTTTAATGCATTTATTTGCAAATTATGGTGGAAAATAAGTATTTGGTCAATAACAAAAGTTTCTCAATACTTTGTTATATACCCTTTGTTGGCAATGACACAGGTCAAACGTTTTCTGTAAGTCTTCACAAGGTTTTCACACACTGTTGCTGGTATTTTGGCCCATTCCTCCATGCAGATCTCCTCTAGAGCAGTGATGTTTTGGGGCTGTCGCTGGGCAACACGGACTTTCAACTCCCTCCAAAGATTTTCTATGGGGTTGAGATCTGGAGACTGGCTAGGCCACTCCAGGACCTTGAAATGCTTCTTACAAAGCCACTCCTTCGTATTCCGGGCGGTGTGTTTGGGATCATTGTCATGCTGAAAGACCCAGCCACGTTTCATCTTCAATGCCCTTGCTGATGGAAGGAGGTTTTCACTCAAAATCTCACGATACTTGGCCCCATTCATTCTTTCCTTTACACGGATCAGTCGTCCTGGTCCCTTTGCAGAAAAACAGCCCCAAAGCATGATGTTTCCACCCCCATGCTTCACAGTAGGTATGGTGTTCTTTGGATGCAACTTTGTCCTCCAAACACGACAAGTTGAGTTTTTACCAAAAAGTTCTATTTTGGTTTCATCTGACCATATGACATTCTCCCAATCCTCTTCTGGATTATCCAAATGCACTCTAGCAAACTTCAGACGGGCCTGGACATGTACTGGCTTAAGCAGGGAGACACGTCTGCCACTGCAGGATTTGAGTCCCTGGCGGCGTAGTGTGTTACTGATGGTAGGCTTTGTTACTTTGGTCCCAGCTCTCTGCAGGTCATTCACTAGGTCCCCCCGTGTGGTTCTGGGATTTTTGCTCACCGTTCTTGTGATCATTTTGACCCCACGGGGTGAGATCTTGCGTGGAGCCCCAGATCGAGGGAGATTATCAGTGGTCTTGTATGTCTTCCATTTCCTAATAATTGCTCCCACAGTTGATTTCTTCAAACCAAGCTGCTTACCTATTGCAGATTCAGTCTTCCCAGCCTGGTGCAGGTCTACAATTTTGTTTCTGGTGTCCTTTGACAGCTCTTTGGTCTTGGCCATAGTGGAGTTTGGAGTGTGACTGTTTGAGGTTGTGGACAGGTGTCTTTTATACTGATAACAAGTTCAAACAGGTGCCATTAATACAGGTAACGAGTGGAGGACAGAGGAGCCTCTTAAAGAAGAAGTTACAGGTCTGTGAGAGCCAGAAATCTTGCTTGTTTGTAGGTGACCAAATACTTATTTTCCACCATAATTTGCAAATAAATTCATTAAAAATCCTACAATGTGATTTTCTGGATTTTTCTTTTCTCATTTTGTCTGTCATAGTTGACGTGTACCTATGATGAAAATTACAGGCCTCTCTCATCTTTTTAAGTGGGAGAACTTGCACAGTTGGTGGCTGACTAAATACTTTTTTTCCCCACTGTATATAAACTGAACAGTACCGGACCCAAATTCAAACTTTGTGGCAAATTCAAACTTTGTGGAACGCCACTTGACATATATATTTTCTCTGAGTTATGTTCATCAAGGGTTAAATAGGTCCTAAACCAATTTAGAACTGGACCGGAGAGGCCAACCCACCTCTCCAGTCTGTCCAGAATGTCATCATGTTCAACAGTGTCGAATGCAGCACTTAAATCTAAGAGTACAAGGACAGAGAGCTGTTTGGCATCTGTGTTGGCTCTAAGATAATTTACCACTTTAACTAAGGCTGTCTCTGTGCTGTGGTGGGGCCGAACACCAGATTGTAATAAACATTAAAAAAATATTAGAATTATTCAGAAATACAGTTGGCAGTTAAAAAAATAATTTAGCTGTTTGAAAACCAATTTCTCCAGAATTTTGCTTAGGAATGGAAGGTTGGAGATTGGCCAAATATTGCTAAGAGCTGAAGAATCTATGTTACTTTTCTTCAGAAGGGGTTTCACCATAGCAGTGTTTAGTGCAGTGGGGAAAGTGCCTGTGAACAGGGAGTGATTAACAATAGCTTGCACTTCTTCAGATATGCAACTAAAAACTATTTTGAAGAAGGTGGTGGGGATAGGATCGAGAAGGCAGGTAGAAGGCTTAAGTTGTGATATCACTTTCCTGAGCATGTCTGTGTCAATCAGGGAAAATAAATCATTTGCGTGGTAGGCTAGGGCACATATCAAACTTATCTCTGAAATATGCCGCAAACTCATCACATTTAGATGTGGAGGAAAGTTCACATATGTTTGCGGGGGTAGGATTTATCAGGCCATCAATGGTCGAGAAAAGCACTCTCATACTATTCTGATTTATTAGTGACCAAGTTAGAAAAATGAGCCCATCTGGCATTTCTAATTGCCTTGTTAAATACAATACATTCGGAAAGTATTCAGACCTTGACTTTTTTCACACTTTGTTACGTTACAGCCTTATTCTAAAATTGATAAAATTGTTTTTTCCCCCTCATCAATCTACACACAATACCCCATAATGACAAAGCAAAATCAGGTGTTTTGAAATTTTTACAAATGTATAAAAAATAAAAAAACGTAAATATGACATTTACATAAGTATTCAGACCCTTTACTCAGTACTTTGTTGAAGCACCTTTGGCAGCGATTACAGCCTTGAGTCTTCTTGGGTATGACTCTACAAGCTTGGCACGCCTGTATTTGGGGAGTTTTTCCAATTCTTCTCTGCAGATCCTCTCAAGCTCTGTCAGGTTGGATGGGGAGCGTCGCTGCACAGCTATTTTCAGGTCTCTCCAGAGATGTTCGATCGGGTTCAAGTCCGGGGTTTGGCTGGGCCACAAGGAAATTCAGAGACTTGTCCCGAAGCCACTCCTGCATTGTCTTGGCTGTGTGCTTAGGGTCGTTGTCATGTTGGAAAGTGAACCTTCGCCCCAGTCTGAGGTCCTGAGCGCTCTGGAGCAGGTTTTCATCAAGGATCTCTCTGTACTTTGCTCTGTTAGTCTTTCCCTCAATCCTGACTAGTCTCCCAGTCCCTGCTGCTGAAAAACATCCCCACAGCATGATGCTGTCACCACCATACTTCACCGGTGGGATGTTGCCAGGTTTCCAAATATCCAAATATCTTCCACTTAAGAATGATGGAGGGCACTGTGTTCTTAGGGACCTTCAATGCTGCAGAAATGTTTTGGTACCCTTCCCCAGATCTGTGACTCGACACAATCCTCTCTCGGAGCTCTACGGACAATTCCTTCGACCTCATGGCTTGGTTTTTGCTCGGACATGCACTGTCAACTGTGGGACCTTATACAGACAGGTGTGTGCCTTTCCAAATCATGTTCAATTAATTTAATTTACCACAGGTGGACTCCAATCAAGTTGTAGAAACATCTCAAGGATGATGAATGGAAACAGGATGCACCTGAGCTCAATTTCGAGTCTCATAGCAATGCGTCTGAATTCTTATGTAAATAAGGTATTTTTATATTTTTAATAGATTTGCAGAAATGTCTGAAAACCTGTTTTTGCTTTGTCATTTTGGGGTATTGTGTGTAGATTGATGAGAAAAAATAGTAATTAAATCAATTTTAGAATAAGACTGTAACGTAACAAAATGTGGAAAAACGGAAGGGGTCTGAATACTTTCCTAACGCACTGTATGTAATTCCACCCAAAAATTATTCTGTTGTTGCTAACTATATTCATAAAAACATCCACTTTTTTTTCGTCAATATTGTTGTGGACCCCCTGCAG